TCCGTCCTGAAGCAGCTTTTTTTTCTTTCAGCAAATCCCTTTATGAATACTCCAAGACCTTCATCGTGTCCCTTGTCCTGGGCAAGGACGTGATTCCCAGGTGAGCGTGCGGGCCGCCCCTGCTGGGATCAGGCTGGCGGCGAAGGCCAAGTGCCAAGCCTCAGTCTGGCCTTCTGCTCAACAGGTTGAGTGTGACCAACTTGGAAGATCTGAAGAGGAGGATCCTGCGAGTGATCGCCCACTGCAACAAGCCCAAGGTAACTCAGGGGACCTGGGGCCTCCCCACCCGGCTGTCCGGGTCCCCCGGAGGATGCTTCTCATTCAGAGCCTTGCAGCCAGGGCTCTTGATGCTGCTAGAAACTCCTCCATTCCCCTCACAGACCACAGAGACGCCCTAAAGGCAGATGGCTAAGCAAGCACAGATTAAATGCTTCAATAGAACCATCCCTGTTTGGCTGAGTCATGTGCTCTTTGTCATCTTTAGTCCTGTCCTGAGCAACAGCATTCTGATGCCTTTCGTCCCAAAGCTCAGAAAATAAGGCTGCCAGAGTAAGAGGCGCTGGTCCTGCTGCGCTGTGGGCTGTCCTACCTAAGCTCTGAGGTTAATCCTGAGGTTAAGGCTGACAGTGCCCACCCTGAGCTGCAGGCCGGGCACTCCTGCTGTCCACACCGGTCAAGGCTGGGCAGCCCTGTCCCCTGCCAGCATGCAGACAGCTCTGCTGATCCGGTCTGGCCACGTCTCCAAAGATTTGGAGCCTCTTAGCTCAGGCCACAAGTACACTTAGGTTCACCAGTAGAGAAGACCACCCATGATGTACTGAAGAGCTTTTTTTGTTAAAGGGCAGGATTAAAATCGACTCTCAGAATATGATTCAAGCCGGGGTGGGGGACGAAGTATACATAGCTGCGACCAAAAAAAATATACCAAAATGTGGTTTTATTTAGATGATGGGATTAGAGATGATTTTTACTTTTTAACATCTTCATTTTGTGACTTTGTTGTTGTTGCTAATCAGAAAATTTTAAACTTAAAAATAAGCTTTCTCATTACCACTTACACTTCCTGCAAACTAAAAAAGAAAAAAATTAGCATCTGATGTTTCTAAGGGAAAAACTGGTTTACGGACTTGCCTAAAAAGAATAAGGGTCACTTTCCCCTCAAATCTGCTTGAATTTGGTTTTTAAACATTGGTTCAAGTGTGATGGCATCACTGCCCCAGAGACCCTAGAGTTTGGGCCCTGGCCTTCACACTGCTGAGACCCACACTGAGAAACAAGAGCGCCGGGCATCGTGGCTGTGGGGTCACCACCCCCAGACGCCAGCTCCCGAGTCCCAGGGGGTCTCTGGAGTCACGCGGGTCTCCCTGCAGTACAAGATCCTGCTGCGCGGGTGCTGGTACGAACTGTTCGGAGGGAGCCCCGAGGACCTTCCCACCGAGCTGGACGGGGGCGACCTGACGCAGCCCCTCCTCGGGGAGCACAGCCTGCTGGCGCACGGGTCCCCGGCCTACAGCTTCTCCAGCGAGTCCCCGCTCGAGTCCCCCACCAGGTACCCACCGCTCTACCCTCCCGGCAGGATCATCCACCTGGAGGAAGAAGGCGCCTCAGGGAGGTGAGTGTGGGCAGCCCCGCCCCGCGGTGGTCACCGCCAGCGGCCAGAGGCGGCCCGTGGGGTGACGCGGGAGGCGGTGCTCACGGGCTGTCTCCTCCGCCAGGTGCTCCTGCTACCCTGCTGCTCGGTACACCGTGAGGTGGTCCCACGAGTCAGAATTCAGCAAAATACTCATCGGCCCCAAGATGCTCACAGACCACATGCCAGACATCCTAATGAGAGTCCTGGACCACGTGGTGTCCGACAGGGCCGCCTGCGTTTCCTGCCCGGCCCGGGGAGGCTCCAGCGTGGACCTGGCATGACCAGGGCAACTGGGAGCTGCTCGGACCGTGGACCCCACCAGGGTTCCACCAAGGCCAGTAGGTGGATTCCTGTCTACCAGAGGTCAAGGGTCTCCTATGTGACTAACTTGAGAAGTACTTTTGCTCACAGTATTTGCAGACTCAGGAGCTAGGAGAGCGCTGAGGTGATGGGCAGGTGTGCAGAGCTGCAGGATACCCTTGCCCATAGGCCTGCCGCTCCTGGGAGTCAGGTTTAAGACCCTAATGGATCTGTAAGCGCCTGCCCCTCGGGCCACCGTTTCGGAGACTGGGTCCTGCCTTAGGACGGCGTAGATCAGCCTGAATCAGCACATGGGGCGTGGTGTACTCTGCAAACTGGACTTTCCCCGCTGCACAGACTGTTTCAGTTTCAAGGGCGCAGCTCGAGGTTCTGTCCTCAGTGGCGCTGAGTGAGGCTCAGCCCTGAGCTCTGAACCAGATGAAACCAGAGGGGGAGGCAAGCAGTCTTCTGCCTTCTGCTTATTCTGTCATCCTCGAGTTCTTGGGGGATACTCTGGCTCATGGAGGTCGGCCAGTGACTCAGAGTAAGGTAAGAAACGGAGCAGGTACACATCATGCGTGCCTGCGTAGCCGTGGACGGTTCTGGAACGTCTGGTTTACTGGGTAGTTTTACCAGTCGCATTTTGAATGTGTTTTTCTGTTCACTATAAACAACACGAATGAAGCCTTGAGTTTTCTTGGAGCCCCACACGGCCCGGGCATCCGACTGTGCCCCACCCCCGACGCAAACCTCATGAAGTGACAGTAAGCGGACTTCAAAAAGCATAAACCAACGAGAGGGGACAGAGGGACAGGAGGTGGGATGGCCGGAGGGAATGGGACTTCTGGTGAGGTGGGAAAGACAACAAACCTGGTCTGCAGAGACGTCCCGGACACTTCTGCCTGGGGTGAAGCGGATGGTGGGGCTGGCCAGAGGGACAGCTGAGGAAGCGGGCACTGGGATCAGTGCAGCACGTGTTCCTCAGCCCCTCCCACACGGCTCCCAGAACCTTCTGACCTCCGGGGACGCCCGCACCCCTCAGGCCTGGCAGCTGTCAGGGGCATACCACTCTGGCTTTTGAAGACACATGAAAGCTCATGTAAAAAACTTCAACTAAAATGCCACATAAATTTCATTTCTAAATGTAATCCCTGTGCACTCCTAGCGGCAGGAAGGAAGGCGATCCTGGGCCACTCGAGCCACACTGCCCTGGCCTGACCCCCTGCGTGCTAGGTGTCAGGTCCCCCTTCGGCTTTCGTGTCCAAGCTCGCACCACGGATCGTCCAGCCGCTTGAGGGACAAAGGCCCGAGAGAAACAAGCCTGGGAGAAGCTTCAAACCCTCCTAGCTATAGCCTGGGAGCGGAAAAAGGGCTGCAACCACAGAACTGATCCACAGTCTGGAAAGCGAAGAAAACCTGCTGGACAGGGAGAGCATGAAAGCTGGAAACCCAAAGCAACACCTGAATGAGGGGAGATGAGCTTCCAGACAGGGAGCCCCCTGAGCACAGGGTTGGAGATAAAGGCCCACCCAGGACACGAGCAGACCCCGAGAGACACGGAGACACACGGGGCGGGCGGGCGGAGGGCCTGCCTTTTGAAACTTCCGGAGTGCTCCCAGTGCAGGGGCCCAGGTTCAACCCCTGGTGACAGAACTAGTTCACACAGGCCACAAGGAAGAGTTCCATGCGGCAATGAAAATACCCTGCATTCTACAACTGAGACCCAGCACAGCCAAATAAATTATTTTTTAAAAAACCCAGAGAGATGTTACTTTCATCCTGGAATTTTAGACTCAACCAAAAAGTATCCGGGTACAGTGAAGTGATTTCCAAAGATACAAGGGCTCAAAAATAGACAACCCACATATTCCTCCAGAAGTTTCTAGAAAATCCATCAAGATGAGAAAGTAAATTAGAAACTTGACTCCTTAGTCTAAGATCCAGAAAATAAAAGATGAATATTAAGAGAAGTGGTGGTCAGAGGGCTCCGTGACTCTAGGGAAATGAAAACTGATGAAATGTCCTGAAAGATCCAGATAACAGATGGAGAGATCGATGTTAAATTATCAAGTACACAGAAAACAAGGTAAATTACTATCCCCAAAGGAACCACGAACTCAAGAAGGGCAGGTCCCGTTACTACCTACCCGGGTGAGCGTCTCTGTGGCCAGGGCAGCGCAGACCCCAGCAGGCCTGTGTCGAGGGAGCGGGAAAGGTGTACTGAGGGTGGGAGTGTCACGAGTGCTGGCGAGAACCAAAAATACGGGCAACAGAAGAGCGCGTGCTTTAACCCAAGCCCTTGGGGGGGGCTGGGGGGGGGGAGGCGCCGTCTGTCACCAGTGGCCAGTGAGGGAACTGAAGCCGTGGGGAAACCCAAGGGGCCGGGTGTGGAGATGTGGGGAGAGCCACGCGCCCAGCCCCTCCCGGTACCTGCCCTCTAAGGTCTGTTCCCTCTGGCTGTTTCCAAGTTACATCCTTTTATGATAAGCTAGTGACCTGGTAAGTAAGAGAAAAGCATATGTTTTAGACATACTGTGGAGTCTGAAGTACCAAGAATTACTTAAAAGAACTCAAAATAGACCCCTGAGGAGGGTGTGAAAAGGAGAGACTAGTTTTTGTAGCAAACCCTTAGAGGTGGTCTTTAAACTACATTATCTTTGATTAAAAAAAGAATAAAGAAAATCGCTTCTAACATGCACTGTTGATGCCATCAATCTAAGTTCAGGCTCCAGGAAGGGTCTGACAGTCTGTCAGCCTCCACCTTACCCAGCTGCCAGCCCGCTTCACCACCAGCACCTTCAGCCCAGAGCTCTGGCCCGAGACGCCACCACACGCATCCCTGTGTGGATATCACCTGAGTCTCGCTGGCCTTCACCAGCTCCAAAACCAGACAGCCCTCATAACCCCTTGTCTACTGGTTCCTCCATCTTCTCCCCATGGAGGGACCACTCCCTGTCCCCCAGCATGAAAACACAACCGTCTCCAACAACCCAGGGTTTTACAGTGAGGCAGGCAGACACCAGACGGTGGTTCCCCACACTCTCAAGAACTCCAGTATTACTGATCATATGATTCAAGGATTTATTAAGTCATACATGCAAAACATACTGCTAATCGCGTTAGCAAAAGATCAATGTAAAAACACTCCACAATTCTGCAACTGTCAATTTAAAAAATTTTGTTCTAGTGGTTGAAAGGTCCAAGCTCGTATTCTTGCCAGTGGGTAAGTTGTACAGAACTTCGTTAGCACGAGCACGGGGCTGACGGAACCTCACAGACCCCAAGAAACATGGTTAGGGCAAGGACAGGAAGCGTGTGCACGCGGTGAGGCAGGAGGGGTCAGTCGTTAGTCACGGTGCGGTGTCGGTCATCTGGCCAGTGACGGTGAGGCTTACAGTTTAGGAATTATCTGAAGTATCTTAAAAAACATAAAGCTGCAACACGATTTTTACACCGAGTTTACTAGGAAACTAAGGAGAGCACTTATTAGCGTTGAGTAAAGCAACATGAAAACAGGAGTGCACTTTTACTAACCTACAAAAAAATTTTCTAATGCATATTCAGAAAGATTTTATAATACAAGGAGGCATATTGCTCATTAAGAATGGGCTCTATAAGAAAAGCACTTACTAAGTTAGCAACTATGAGGATGACCAGGTCAAAGATGGATTAAATGCCCAATTTCAGAAGGGGTGGGCAGGTTTAGGAAAAGGAAAAGCTGAATAAAACACTCACTGATAATACCGACCTTTCTTTATCTACCGCATTTGACAGAAATTAACCTTTAAAAACCTTTACCCGTGATGCTTTTAACAGTTTTAATGATTACGTGTACAATGTAGTGTAAATTAATCTCCACATTTTGTCAAAATACTGTCTCCATCCTTTGATGACAAGCGTCCCACACACTCCACCCCAGGGCACCCACGGACAGAACTCTTCATCACAGGGAGCACTGAGTTCTGTTAAGAATCTCACAAGAGCTAAAACACTAACTTGTTTTAAAAAATCTCACTACAAAATCAAAAAGACTGATCCAAAGAGCGAGCTGTTAGGCCCGTGCGCGCTGACGTACAGTACAGTGTTAGGTAGTGAACGTGGGCTGCGACATCGTGACTCGTTAGGTGCAGCGTTTCAGGAAGGAGGCTGTGCGCGCTCTTCTCGCCTGAAACTTGTCAGCGAGGGTCTGCACCTCCTGCCTCCAAAGCTACAGTCTTCCAGACAAAGGTCTTTCCACAGCTTAGCGCTTAGTGTTCTTAGCCCAACAATGCAACTTAGTTCACAAAGTATTTTGGCAACTCTGAGCAAGAATAGGGGCTTTGAAAAATAAGGCTTTAAGGAAGCTTGTCATTTTAGGGCTGAACTTTAATAGAATGTGAAAGTTTGAACTCTTACACTTTAAACAAACAAAACCTAGAAATTACTGATTGGTTCAAAACGGTTTTATGGAAAAACTAATCTGTAACAAAAACTTGGCATTGAGTGCGAAGGCGCCACCTCTGAGCAAAGCATACAAAGGGTCCTGGGGGGCGCAGTGGGGGGCGGATGTTCACAAGAGCAGGCACTTTCTCTTCCTCTTCTTGACGGGGGGCGGGCAGAGAACCGCCCGGATCGCTTCATCAAACACTGTCTTGAGGCCTCGCTGCGTGAGCGCCGAGCACTCCAGGTATTTGACGGCACCTGTGGGAACACAGCCTCACCCTCCGATCGGGACGTGGTGGCTCCCCCGCCCCGGCCGGAGCACGGAGGGCCCCGCTTGGCGGGGTCGGCCCCCGAAGGCAGGTGGGGCTTCCCCAGCTGGGACACCAGCCTCCACCCCAATGTGAAAACGGGAAGGCACGCGTGACGGTGGGGGTCTCCTACCGATCTCCTTGGCCATGGCCAAGCCCTGCGGGTAGGTGATGGGCGTCAGCTTCTTCTCCTTCAGCTTCTCGATCGTGTCTTTGTCGTCCCTCAGGTCAAGTTTTGTCCCCACCAGGATGATGGGTGTGTTGGGACAGTGGTGTCGCACTTCAGGGTACCACTAGGCGCCAAGACGGAGCGGAGTCACCACTCTCCTTTAGGCACCCCTCGTCAGCTGCACTGCGCGGGGGCCACCCGTGCCCACCGCCCCCCCTCCGCCGGCTCACCCCCCTCCAGGACCACCGCCTGGCTGTTGCGGGATGAGCAGCCTGAGACTCAGGACCCACGACCCCCCGGACAGCTCTACTTCTCAGCGCGAGAGGGGAGAGGACTGCCCCCAGCCACCTGGTTTGCGGTAAAACCCGCGGAGTTCCTAAGTCATGGCAAAATCCCCACCTCCCCCCCCACCCCACATTCAAAGGATGAGCACAGAACTATCCCCACCCCAGGCCTCAGCTCTGCCACTGTGACCCCCACCAGACAAGGCCCTGGGCCCAACTGAAGGGCCTCACCAAACCCCCGCCCCGTCTTCACTCAGTTCATGAAATATGCCAGAGTATGAAGTGTGGTCCTCATTTTTATTACACCAACTCCAAAGTGCTTCATTATTGTCACAAGAAACACAGCACTTCTCAATCAGACCCTGAATCTTCAGCACACTGCGTGCTCAAGGCGTACACCTAAAAAACCTATTACCTATATCAAAACCTGCCTAAGCAGTAGAATTAAGTAACTGAAAGTTTCTATCAGTAAATGGTATTTTATTTTTTAATATTTCTTCCCAAGACTGACATTATGTAACTGAATATTTTCCTAAAAAATCCCACTTACCTTTGCACGAACATTTTCAAATGATGCAGGACTCACAAGAGAAAAGCAAATTAAGAATACATCCTACAAAAAGAAAACACAAGGAGGTTTTGAGAAGAGTCAGCAGCAAGGAAGGCGCTTCGTTTCTACATGCGGCGGGGGGCAAACTCTAAGCCCAGGCACACGCGGCACACAGCAGCCGTGGCGTGGGCCTGCCCCCGACACCCGCAGTGCGGCCAGGCCCCCCAGGCAGGAACAGCGCGTGAAGCGCCTGTCACCAAGAAGGGGAGTGGGGGACAGAACACGCTCAGAGTTACTCAGGCTACATCCAATTCAGATGTAGACTGGATCGGACTGGATCCAACCAGATCAGAGCGACATCCAATTCAGACTCCCAGAGGCCTCTTTCCCACCCTACCCACTCCAACTGGAATTAACATGATGCTCAGTTACCACACAGGGACAAGGTCAAGAGTCAGGGTCCTACGCCAATATTTCTATTAAAAAAAAAACATTATCTACAAATGGTACGCTTTTCACTAAGCTCCCTATCAGAATGTTAAGTACATTTTCACAAGGTCACAGGGTTCTAGTTAAACTGCTTCTTACAGAACTGCCGTCCAAGCCCAGCACCAAGAGGTTCCCCTCTGGAGGACCGGCAGGGAATCACGGGTAGGCCGAAACTTGGGACGGTCCTGGCACTCCACACGCCCACTGGAGGGGGCACAGGTCTGATCCCCGGTCAGGGAACGAAGACCCCACATGTTGCATGGCATGGTTCCCCAAAAAGTGAAATTTAAGTATCTGCCTAAATGCCTTAGAGTTTCTAAGATGCTCTGTTTATGAAACTTTTCCCTAGAAAACTATGCTACGTGGTGAATGGACACAGTCCCCATCCTAACACCTCCTTTCCATCCAGTTGATCTCTTGCACCTGAAAGGGAAGGAAGAACATCCCACCACAGCCTCTCATCAACGACACTGAAAGGCGAGCGCATGCACGAGCGTGTCCGAGAATCACCGACACCCGGGCTGATCACAACACCCCAAGCAGGGACGGGTGAGCTCCCAAGCAGGCAGCTGCGCCCCTCAAGCCCCGCACCGGACAACGAAGCGGGAGGAAGGAAGGAGCGCCCGCCGTGGGGAGAGTCCCGCTCCCGCCAAGCGCTGGGGCTGTGTGAGCCGCGGGGAGGCCTGGCCCTCGTGAGGGGCAGGAGGCAGAGCCCGGACTGCTGGACTGCAGTCAGAAGGTGGGCTGTCCCCCAAACCCCTCACCTTGAGTAGATCAATAAAAAGCACTCAGGGAGTGTGAGGCTCACCAGGAAATCCTAGGGAAACTAAGTGAGCCCAGAGAACAGTAAGGCTTGAAACTGAGGTCGAGCGAGAATTTTACATACGGCAATCGGCTTGTCTTTGCCCCTGGAAGGTATTTCCTTACCATACGTTTCTCCAACCTAGTAATGCACGAGAACTTTGTTTGAGTTTAGTAAAAAGCGAGAAGAAAGCCAATATAACCCGTTACCTAGTCTTCATCTGAATCCTGTCTCAACCCTCCCAAGGGACCCAAAGCACATGCTGATGCAGCACACCTGTGACGCCAGGCGCCGCTGAATCTTTCCATCGCCCTGGCCAACGGGGCACAAGGAGGTGCTCGGGAAGGTCAGAGAGGTGGAGACCCAGGGCAGGAAATCCTGGGTGGGGGACACAGACAGGCTCCTTCCCCACAGAACTGGCATGGTGCCCACCAAGCCCACGGCTCCTGCTCAGTGTGAAAGGGGCATCCTTCCCTCAACAAGGGCGCCCGTCAGCAACCGCACACCCTCAAAGCTCCCAGGCCAAGGTCTCAGACACAAGCCCAGCTGAAGCCAGCAGAAGAAGCGCCCATCTGTACAGCAGGCCTCCTGGCCAGGACACTATCCCAAAAGGTGGCCGGGTCTGAGGGATGCAACCTCGCGGGGTGCAGCTCGAACCCAGGGACCTGCTCTCCTGAAAGAACAGCGCGGAGGCCCCGAGCATGTGGGGGCCCGCCCGGAAGTGACCGCGCCGCCAGTGTTTATCACCATGCTTTCAACTCACTCCTCTGTTCCCGTAAAAATGGAAAGACTTGCTCTCCAGCAACAAAGAATCTGGAATTCTCAAATCAAGAGAAAGGCAGCTGAGACAACTATTGTAACTTCATCTCCCCTAGGCTTCTCTGATTTACAATCTAGAGCGAAGGTCAGTTTCTCTCACTACCTTTCAGAATCGGGTCCTCGCAAGGCCTGGACGTGATGCCAAAGCTTCACAATGATGCGGAGACTCAGGGGGTCGGCCCCAAACACTTGGTGTCAAAACACCCTCTGCCACATCTGCCCTACCCTTTCCCGCTCTTCAGAACATCTTTCGGATGGAGGAGACAGACTCCTTCCGTCCTACATTAGTTAACACGCCGCAGTCCGCCTGCTCCTTCCTCCTTCCTTTTTCTGCCTGCAACCCAAACACGGCTGGAGGAAAGCGCAGTGCATCAGACAACTAAGGCTCAAGCGTCCCGCTGGCCCTTCTGAGTGGGTCACGGCAGAGTTGAGGATGAGCCAGAGACAGGCCTACAAAACGGACAGCCAAACCAGAGACCGGGTGCCATTTAGTACCAAGTTCAGGGGTTTCTCTTTGCCGAGACAAAATCCAGTGCCAGCTACCATGTCCAGGGCCAGCTCCCCCTGGCAGGACACCAGCCCAAAGGAAGGAGACCTTTCAGGCCCCAGTATCTCAGCACTCAGCGGCTCCCCCTCAGTAACCAACACAACCTGCTCATCCTCAGGAGTCAGGCAGGCCAGGCTGTAACAACCAGCTGGGGGCTCGCCCCCAGGCTCCTAAGCAGGTGGGTCACACGCTGTGGTGCAGGCATAAGAAGTGGTCCACCGCCCTCCCGAGGCAGAGGTGAGAGGTCTAAGTCCCGGCCCCAGGAGGACAACAGCCGCTTGGATTTCAGGCCCCACTCACTGCAGCTTGATGCCATCAGTCACGGATCTAGTGCGCTCAGCAGAGTGGGAATCTTGCCAGATCACCTTGGACTCACTGCAAGTGACTGCCTCCGAGAAAGAGGCCACACCCGTCCCTGGACCTCCTGAGTCACAGGAGGCAGTTCTCCTTTCTCAGAAGTGACCTGCCACCTTCCAGACAGATCCAGTTGGTTGAGGATCCTACTCTACCCCTGGAGAAGGAAACGGCAACCACTCCATGGATGGAGGAGCCTGGCAGGCTATGTAGTCCATGCGGTCCCAAGAGTCTAGCAACTAAACCAGCCAAGCAGCCTACTCTCCCACTCAATGCAAATCCCACTGAAATCTGGACTCAGCAAGCAGCCACTTGGTATAGAGCACTTCCCTAAACATACTGAAGGATTCAAACTTTTTGGTGATTATTGGCTGATTTTTTTTAATTGGCTGATTTTTAACAGATAATCACAGTTCACTTTTATCCACAGATTACCTGAAAAGTCAGCCAATTCAAGCCTCCCAGTTTATGGTTTTGATCTTTGCTTACCACTGTTCCCGGAACTCAGATAAAGGACAATCAGCAAAAATCTACAGCTTGAGGAAACTGTCCTTGACAACTCCTCTAGCAGAAAAACAAATGGAAAAGACAATGACTTCTGCTTGGAAATAGCCATATTTCAAACACAAAAAAACAAGCTCTGGGCAGACTAGAATGAATTCATTCTTTTCACTCACACTCACCCCTCAGAACAAGGGTAATTAAGCCAGTCTCGGGGTGGAGGCTGGCCCTCTGAGGGAGGTCTCCCTGACCCCGAGCCCCCCAAAGGCTGCGTCCTGCAGCCCCCCTTGGAGACAAGGGGGCCCCCAGCTCCACTGGCACAAACACATGGAGGGGCCCGAGGGCAGACGCGCCCGGGGCTGCCTACGAGCTCCGCCGAGACCGCCTCACCCCAGCCTGGGAAGCAGCAGGCAGGTGCCCGTGAAGACGCCTGCCCCGTCACACAGCGCGCGGGGCGGGATCGGAAACCCAGGAATTCGCTCAACTGCCTCTGCAAACTGCCCCGGCCGGCTGGTCACAAAGTTGTCTTCAACACTTAACAAACGAGAGACGAGTGACCAGAAGGAAATACCACGAGTGAGACAACTGCTTATTTAGAGAAAAGTGGCTTCGGACCACGTGGCCACCAGCTCACTGGCCTAACTACAAAGTACAGAGACCGCTGGTTAGCTGATGTGCAGGCAAGCCCAAGCTAACGGCTGTCGGACTGGTCACAGCGGACACATTATAAAACTGAAACTTCCACCTCCTTAAGAAGATATAGGTTCTAAAGCTGCAAAAATATATCTTATAGAAAAACAGTATTAAATCGATAGGATTAGTTACTAACTTGATCTAAAGAAGCCTCATCTTCGCTGCTTAATTTGCGTCTGCAGCACAGAACAATCAGAAAGCAAACTAACCAGGAAACTAACTGTTCTTAAAGCAGTTTTGCCAAAACAAAACTGCACCTATTTCGCATGGCTGTGCTTAAACTACACGGAAGACTGTAAATGCACAGCACCAGAGTCAATACTGGGGATGCGCAAAACGGAGAAACAAGCAGACAAACTCCTGGTCTGCATCTAGGCAGATACTCAGTACTGAAGTAATTCAATGTTATTTGTTATTACTCAGCACACACAAAAGACGGCAATATAGGCAAATCGAGAGGTGGCATGAACTGATGAAACCGTCAGGACGTGCAAAGGACACTAAAATCAGTCAGGCTCCTTACTGTCTGCGGGTAGGACAGGGGGCGTAATCGGTCATAATCTTCTTGTCCGGCTGTGTCCCACAAGCCCAGATTCACAGGTTTTCCATCCACCATGACATTGGCAGAGTAGTTGTCAAAGCTGTGGAACAGAGGGAAAACGGTTAGCCTCCGGCCGCGGAGCCAGGCACCCCTGGGGCTGAGCGGGGCGGGCAGGCGCCCAGCGCAGGGACGTGGGAGCTGGGGTGTGCGGACACCACTGAGACCCATGCACGAGCCGCATGTGTCTTAACCAGAACAGGTCTCTGGCGGCTCCAGAACCCTGCCTGCCCGTGACGAAGAAGACAGTGAGGTCTCTCCCCAGAAGACAGGCAAGCGCGCGAGTCCCCTTCCAAGCCCCACGGGCTGGGTTTTCCGCGCACACCTGAGTCGCCCTCAGCTAGGGGCCCCCAGCAGGGCTGCAGGGCCGCGTTCCCAGAACACCCCCTGCACCCCCGACCCTGGGCGGAGGCTGGCCCCAGCTGAGCCTCAGTAATCCACCCTGGACCTGTGTGCAGAGTAACACAAGGCAAACCAGATCCGAGAAGCTACTGGGCAATGTCTGCGAAGTGAGTTCACACGTGGGTTTGATTTGAGGCTGCTACACACTAATGAATTACCTATAAGAGGAGGAAGCCCAGAAAGCCGACCGGCTGACAGGGAGAGAGGAGGAGGACATGAAAAAATCGCGCTGAGTGCTGTGGAGTGGTTCACTGACACCCGGCATTCAAGGGAGACCGGGGCAGGTGCCGGGCAGAACACAACACACCAGCCTTTAAAGGCAAGTCCCAGGACTGATTTTCACACGCTTAAGACCAAAGCTTAGGATCTTACTACGCTGTGACAGCAGAGTCACAGTCTGAGTAGGTTGCAGTGATTTATACAAGCTCATGACCGAACCAGCTTTCACACAGAAGAGGTCTCTGCTGCACCTCTACCCAGTGGCAAGAGGCAAGATTCTGCAGTCAGTGGTGCAAAAATGGCATAAGAATCTGCAAGAGAACCAGGTGCTTGCCTCATGCCATACCAAAAATAAACCCCAAGTGAATGAAAGATAAAAACTAGAGTGATAAAAACCCTAGGGGTTGGGGGGGGGAAACTAGGGAATATTTTTTACTAAGACACTAAACTCAGGGAAGAGGGAGAATGGCATATTTAAATAAAAATGCAGAGGATATCATGAGTTCAAAGACAAGTGAGAGACAGAGGGATGAGTATTTTTCATACAGAGTTCCACCAGTACAGAGAATTTACAGTGGGAAATAAGCAAGGGATTTTGACAGGCAGTTCACAGAAGATTACGGCAGGGACAGGAAACGCTCACAAGGTTTCAACCTCACCAGTGACCAGAAATGCAAATGCCGCGGTCATCGTTTTCAGCCCGTGTTCACCACAGTAGGTAGGAAAGGGCTGTTTCCGTCACCACTGCTCAAAGTGACAGCATTGGGAATAGCAACTGTGTACCATCTATTGAAACTTAAAACATCCATTTTTCCTGGTTTGCCATAGTTCCTCCAACAATCAATCACGTGTGCACAAAGACGTGTGCAATGATATCTGCACTGCACTGTTTGCAAGTGAGCAGAGTCAGGTCCACCACGGGACCTCCGAGTCATCAACAGCTCTACCTACACATGGAGATGAGGGAAGTCCCCACCACAAATTCTGGACAGTGTAATTCCACTTACACCCACCCACACACAGGACGCTTGGGTGCGAGTGCAGGGCTCCAGGAGGTGAGCAGCGTAGGAACCGAGCACGGATGGGCGGTGAGGATCCCGCCCAGGGTGGAGCCTCGGAAGCTCCCTGGTGACCACCAGAGGTGCTCCCATCCGCCCCCCAGCCTACACCCCCCACACACACAGCCACCCCCCACACACACAGCCACAACACAGCCACCCCCCACACACAGCCACCCCCCACACACACAGCCACACACACCCTGGTTTCAATTCCAAAGCCCAAAAAGTCAACAATGACATGTAACCATTGGACTGCTGGCCAGAAAAGGCCAATTAAAACATAATGGACCTTTTTGTTCCAGTTCCTTGACCCTCTACACAGAAAGCCACTTATCTTAAACTCTTAAGACTATCCAGTCTCTGAACTTCAAAAGTGGTTTAACTTTCATTTCCTAAATATCTGAAAATCAATTAGGAAAGCTGTGTGCTTTGTCATCATGCAGAAACTATATTAAAAAAAGATAGTTATTTTTTTTTAAGTCCAAATAACTTATAATTAGACCTCAGTGACTGAGAGGAAGATTAACCACCTCTCTTCACTTAAGGATTTAGAAAGGCAGAGCAGAACAAAGGTCAATGGAATCCAAAAAAAAACCACATATCACTGACAAGTTAATCCGGGTTAACTCAGAATACTTACACAGTGGGGATGTATTCTCCAGGAAATGCATTGGTAGTGTAACTGATCAGGAGGCAAGTCTTACCCACAGCTCTATAGAGACAGGAAAAAAAATGGTGTAAGTTCCCTAGTCAACATAAGTGCAATCCTGGCTCTCATTATTCAGTGAAAATAACTTACAGAAAATTCAGGAAGTATGCATCAAATATTAAAGCACTAAAGAAAACAGTTTCTATGACCTTTTATTTAATACTATTTTTATCCTGAAATTTAAAGCAAACAAACTAGAATTGCTCAGAAAGGCAGAGTCCGGGGCTTCACACTGTTTCAGTTCTAAGTGTCTGCACTGGTTGTTGAGAAAACAGTTACTGTAAGCACAAGGCTCCACAGGGACAGCATTTTAGACGGGAAGTCTCGGGATTTCCCTGGTGATCCAGTGGCCAAGACTCAGTGCTGCACTGCAGAGGGCCCGGGTTCAACCCCCGGTCAGAGAACTGCGCCCCAGACGCTGCAGCTATGAGCTCACATGCCACAACTGACGGTCCTGCGTGCCGAAACGAAGACCCGGTGCAGCCAAATACATCGATGAAATAAAAAATAAATAAAATGAAAAAATAAAAAATAAACACGTCTCCTCTGCGAACACCTCTAGAAGGCTTTCATCAAGAATCTGCAAATCTACCCTCAAGTTATTCCGATGAATACTAACAGGCAGACACAGCTCTCCTCTCAAACGTCCCCTGTTGCAAAGTCTGCTGCCTCGAGGGGTGGCTCAACCCTGCAGCCTCCCTCAAGCCTTCCCTCCGGCCTTCCCAGAGGCCAGGTCTCTAGAGAGCGTTTAGTCACCCATACCACCGCCAGCTAATTCATCTGTATTCCTCTGCCTCCTCCCCACCCCCACCCTCAAACCTCACCATAAACTTTTGGAGCGAGCAGTTAACACACTATGTTCCAGACAGATTAAAGAACGGCTCAGGGACAGTGAAGTAAATCTCCCAAACAGCTGTGAAGAGAACTAGCGAGAAAAGCGTAGGAACACAGGAGGGCCTCCCACACATAACTGCAAGCCGGTACAGGGTACCAGGGCAGTGAGGAAAGGCTCCCAACCACTTGAGAGGGGTATCACCCAGTCAGGAGACTTTCTGAAGGAGTAAATGGCACTCCAGTATCCTTGCCTGGGAAATCCCCTGGACAGAGGAGCCTGGCAGGATACAGTCTATGGGGTCGCAAAAGAGGAGGACACAACTTAGCAACTGAACAACAAAATCACCTAAATATTAAGTTGATCACTGCACCATTAGCCAACAGGTGCGTGCATGCCAAGTTGCTCAGTCGTGTCCGACTCTTGCGACCCCATGGACTGTGTAGCCCACCAGGCTCCTTGATCTATGGGACTGGATTCTCCAGGCAAGAACACTGGAGTGGGGTACCATTCCCTTCTCCAGAGGATCTTCCAGACCCAGGGATCAAACCCGGCGGCTCCCGCGTTGCAGGCAGATTCTTTACCACTGAGCCAACGCAGACGCCTGGCCGACACGGTCTCCGAACTGTACACCACTCCCACGCTGGCTCTGGGGGCTTCGGAGTCCCTGGGCTCACTCCCCAAACAAGTGCTCCTCACAGGCCCAGCTCCCTGCTCTCCTCTGCGGCTCACCAAGGCCACAGGATACACTGGGGCGCAGGAGTCCTAAGACTCTGCTGTTCAATCTCGACCAACTATCAATTAGGACAACCATAAAGAAGTTAAGTGCCTTTCTATTTTCCTTACACTCTTAGCTTAAGGCAAAAACCTCTCAGCAAGGGCAGATTACAGGCCCAGGCGGTCCTGCCAATACTTGCTTCACTCATAACATTATTAAGGCTTAACAAAAGCTGAAACTCCCCCACCCCAAAGACCTCACAGTCAAACATGACATCATCAGGGGCTGCCGTCCAACTCCTAAAGGCTTTCTAAACAGAAATGACTCACTGGCCATACATTTTGTTAAAAGCTTAGGACGTTAAAAAAATAAAAAAAGAACCTGAATGAGTAGGAGTCTGAGATTCAAAGTCACTGCACGGATGTGTGACCCACAGGCAGCTCTACCACTTACTGGCTGAGTTTTTTAAGTTTCAACTTCCTTATGCCTTGGTTTTCTCAACTCTAAGATGGATGCAAAACTACCAACTTCATCCCAAAACTATTGTGAACACTGATTCAATTTCAGTCTATACCAACAAACTGCATGGTATGCCAGCAAGTATACCAGGTGCTAAAGACACTGCCATGAACAGGATCTCATGGAACTCATGCAGTTTTAGTAAGCTAAAAAACGAGACACGTGTCCATTACATAACATTTTAGATGTGATGAATGCTGTTAAAGATGTTCTGGAAATGTACAGCGCAGGGATCTAGCCCTGTCTTGGGGGCAGAGGAGGCTGCAACATCACTGAGTGGGACACGGAAGGGAGGAACATTCTAGATAAAAGCAACAGCATGTAGGGAGGCCCAGACTGCAGGAAGGCCAGTAAAACTGAAGGCTGAAGAAAGAAGGGGGAAGTGGCAAAGGGAAGTCTGAGGACGTTGTCACTTCTTCTCAAGACCTGGAACTTGATACTACTTGGGAAGTGACAGAAGATTTTTAGTTGCCAAGAAATCATTAGATTTGCATTTTCAGAAGCAGCCTCTCTGGGCAATGTGGGAAGAGGACTGAAGAGGCTGAGACTGGGGGCAGAAAGAAGGAAGCAGCCGCCGCTCTGTCCCAGGAAGCGATGCTGTGGCCTGGACCGCGGCGGGGGCGTCAGGGTGCGGAGGAGAGGGCTGTCAGGCAGGATAAACACAGCTCACTCAGGGGTTGCAGCGGGAGCTGAGGGGGAGAGCGCACTTGAAGGCTGTGAAGAGTGATCATCTTTTCACACCTGAAAGTGCTGTCGTGTAAAAATGTTAATAGTCATCACCTCCTAAAGTCGCAGGGAAGCAGCTCCGAAGGTTTTAAATGTGGCATTAAAAGCATCACAGTTTCACTTCCGGATCCCTCCGAAGGCTCTCCTATGTATGAGGAACATTACTACACACACCAACTGTTTTAAATCTGCCAGAATCTCTTTTCCCGAAACTGGGTCTTCAGCTGAGGCTTCATCTTTCGCAAGGTTTCGCTGTAAAGGACCCCAAGGCACTGGTATCACCTGATAGTGATTGGGAATTTTATCACCAATCATCCTTTAGATATAGACATGCGTTCTCTAAGAAAATTAGTAAAGTATAAAGCTCTGACTTAAATAAGTACATGTCCAACTTTTGATTTAAATGTTTACTTAATTTTAAAAACAGAGAAAAAGAAAGAAAAGGGTTATTTACCTCCCATTAGTGTTTGTTCACTCCTTTTAAACACACTCCACAAATAAATGCTACAAGCTACAGGCCACAGTCAACAACAGCTCTAGACAAAGTCACGCTTCTCCCACAGGAAGAATGGAAACGGCATCTGGTTAGCCTTTCACTTGACGCTGGCTGCTGCGGAATTTCTTGAAGCTACTATTTACTTTGGAATTTCCAATTTTATACATATAACTGCTCAGTTCACTCACTTTGTAATCTTTTTTCCCCCTCTTTTTCTTTTTAATCTTTGAAAAATGCTGTAACTAGAAAGGGGGCATGAGTCTACTGGGAGAACATTCACATAAGCACGCTTCTGAAATTTAAGGAGTATTTTACTTATTTGTGATAAATAATCACAACTGCTACTAGCTCTTTTACTGGTTAGAAAGTTGACAAGGTAGATAGAACATACTTATTTCCAGGTTCTAAGTGACAGCAAACCACCACAACATTTTAATCTAACAGGAACTGAGCACATATAAGCACATGAAATCAATAAATTCGGAAACACTCGCAATTTCCTCCCATTAAAATAGGGATGGACTATCCCTGGCAGTCCAGTGGTTAGGACTTGGCTTCCACTGCCGAGTGGCACAAGTTCCATCCCTGATCCGGGAACTAAGATCCCCACATGCTGCCTGGAACAGCCAAAAAAAAAAAAAAAAATCCAGGAAACTGAAAAACAAGAAGATTCTGCATTGCATTAAAAACAACAACAAAAACAAACCCACTGTTCTCTCAGTAGGGCAGAAAAAACAGATTTCTCCAGTGACTACTGTAAACCTAAATAAGGAGCCTGTATTGCTGCCTGAAGTATATAGCTCTTTTCCCCCAGTTTTATTGAGGTGTAATTGACACACAGCACTATGTAAGTTTAAGGTGCTTAATTTCTATACATCAGGAAATGATTACCACAGTAGGTTTAGGGAACATCCATCATCTCTTAATGAGCCAGCATAAAAGAAATAGAAAATTTTTTCCTTTTGATGGAAACTCTTAGGATTTATTCTCTCAAGAACTTTCATCTATAAGGTACAGCAGTGTTAATTATCATTTGCTACATTTCATCCCTAGCACTTATTTATAACAGGAAGTTTGTTCCTTTTCACCACCTTCCAATCCCCCGATCCCTAAGAACACCTAGGATCTTAAGAACAAATTAACAGAACAGGACGGAACATGAATTTTAAGTATCAAATATATAATATACTAATACTTATGCATTAACGAAAGACCCTGAATCGAAGTCCTCGATTTGTGCTGAGAAATGGGATTTGGGGACTCTTTACACTAATCCTAAAGGTATAATTACCCAGAGAGTAAGCTCAAAAATTGTATGAATTAACAGAGCAATTTAGTGCTACCAAAATGCAAAACCCTAGCTGCAATGCCCCTGACGTCCTGCCACCAACAGGAGACATCCCCAACCAACTAACAGAAAGCCAGTTGTTAACACCATGGGAGACTCCAAAAAGTTCAGATGCTAAACACTGAAGTTACTAGAACACTCAAGGCTGAAGATGCTACCTCTGACAGAATTTGAATCTGAAGCAGCCATTACTGAACAATGCCCTAGAACCATCTAGCAGCCTAACCCTGGGGTAGCTTATTACATGTGTCAGCTAAAGATGCAGAGTTCAAAATCAGGAATTTATATCTGCGTATTACCCCCATTCTCCTTCCAAAATCAACTTCTGTTATCAAATCCTCTTAAACTATTGCCCCCAAATGGGAACAACTTCCCATGAGATACAGCAAATAGAGCAAACTGTTGATTACAGAATCTAAGTGGTTGGTATGTGAGAGATCAACGCATTATTCTTTCAACTTTTCCATGTTTGACATTTTTCACATCAAGAAGATGGAGGGAAAAGTTCCATCTGGTGATATGTGCTAACTGCCCTGGGAGCAGGATTGCTGGTGAAACACCCCCTTTGTAGGAAGACTACAATTTTAAGTTAGAGCTTCCTGGTGATGCAGAGGTGAGAGTACAGACATCAGCTGACTAATACAAAAGACAGAGTGTAAACGGTGGCTTTAAGGTTTCTCAGAAGGGACTCCTGACACTCCTCCACTGAACCTAACCCCAAACATTTAGCTGGCATTAATTATCATCTGAAATTAAAATATATATATATAATACAATATAACTGTACCAACCAAGATCAAGTACTAAAAAAAAAAAAAAAGATCAAATACTAAACGTAAATTCGAGATAAAAACACATGAAGGCAATTCCCGAAGAGCTGAAACAAACTCATGGATCATCCACGGCTGCTTGTTCAATGAAGTGGGCAGGAACCAGTAGTATACATTCCTATCAAGATGACATCATGGAAGGCATTTATCAAGCTCAACTAAAAAAATTCCTGGACAGCAATGTCTAAATTAGACACTGGGCTGCGGAAACCTCTAGTATCTGGAATAAAATGGGGGGAGAGGTTAAGTCACTCACCCCCAGCCCCAAATCAAGCAGTCAAAAAAAAAAAAAAAACAATTAAAAGTTCATAAATATTTGAGTATGAGATGCTGTCTCACCCAAGTAAAGCTGAAAGAAAATTGGGGGACAGAGGTTCCCCAAATTAGAGTCACAAAACCTTTGTTAAGGACAGAATCAGGCTTCACGGAAGAATTAACAGAATTAAAAAGTATCAAAACTTATCTCACATTTTATACCCAATACCAACTGGATTGCTGTATAGAAAATAATCCATTAGAAGAATATAGGCTAATTGGTGCTAATTATAATACAGTTAGGACATAGCCTTTAACCATAATTCCCAAGAATATTTTTAAAATAAGGATGCTTGCAATTTGTGGAACCTCAACGAGTTTGCCTTCCCTGTTTAAACTGCCCCAATTGCCTGAAATCCCACAACATTAAGCAACTTCTTCCCCTCACAAAGTTTAGACCTGCACTTTACAGCTTCTACAGTTTTTTTAACAAAAATATTCCTACAAGGAATATATTTTATTCAGACAAAAGCAAAAAGAAAAATATTTTTGGTGGAAAAAGTATTATCTAGATTGCTAACTGAAGCAATATTTGCCCTATGTTCACCCCTAATTTAAAGTATTGACAACACAGCTCAAGGTTTTTTTCATAAAGGTACATTTCACTTCTAATGTCAACATCAATGTTCAAATACAGTATTAAAAAAACTGACAGAGGGGGTTTCCCTGGCAGCTCAGAGGTAAAGAATCCGCCTGCCAGTGCAGAGGACACGGTTCGATCCCTGGTCTGGGAAGATCCCACATGCTGCGCAGCAACTAAGCCACGACTACTGAGCCTGCGTTCTAGAGCCGAGGAGCCACTACTCAAGCCCGAGCACCCCAACTGGAGAGTAATCCCCCCAAAACTAGAGAAAAGCCCTCACTGCAACAGAAGACCCAGCACAAACAAAAATAATTCTTTTAAAAAACTGACTGAAACCTCAAGGCCACTATGTTTTATGCCTAACACTCTTCACAGAGCATAGCAGTACCTCAGAGTAATAAAAACAGCAATGATAATCAAGAAATACTGGCATCCAGCACTCACTAAGCACTCGGAAGGGGCCGGGCACCTGGTTGAACCCTCACAATTCCCCTCGAGGCACCTCTCTTGGGGGACGAGTGACCTGCTCACCCAAGTGGTGAGGTGGGGATTTGATCCCACAGGAGGCATTCAACAAGTATTAGACCGCAAACAGCAGAGGTCCACAATCTGTACCTATTGACTGAGTAAACTGACTATATCCTGTGCTTGTATTTTTAAATCTTTCAAATAAGATTATATTCTAGGATTAGATAATGAATTATCAGCGATTTGACTTTTTTAAAAAACTGGCATGAATTACTGATCCTGCATTTTTTAACTTTTAAAGGAAATCCAGATCATTTACAATGTTCCGGAGACAATGACATATGTTATACTTCAGGAGCAGAAGGATCAAAACTTCATTTAAATGAATTTAGTATTTCACCCTTAAACCAATTAACTGAACATCCTCCCCATCTCCACAAAATTAAAGCTTTCTTTCAATGGGTTAAAAAAAGAACAAGCACCATACATATTTCTAAGTAGAAACTTACAATTTCTGATTATCTCGACAAAAGCATGAAGTGTTGATAATCTTTCACATTTGTGAGCCTGACAAACCATACAGAGGGCATCTTTTAAAAAAAAAAAAATCAGTTGTCTGATTGTGTTCAAGGATCTGAATTAGATACAGAAACAAATTCAAATGTCTAATTTACAACGATCTTAAGAAACCGAGATCTCCTAAATTCATCCAGAGGCAAGAAAGCACCATTGACCCTAATGACAAGTTTGGGGAACAGGGATTCCACAACTCTCCCTTCAACTTCACAAGACTCCAAATAGGTGCCAGTTGCATTCTGACTTTGTTGCAACTCGTGGAGCCTCCCTGTTAACTCTACTCCAGCAATGAGGAGACGCACAATTTTGCTCCGATCACACTGAGATTCTTGTTTCAAGGGGAGAAAAAAAAACTGCATAAGACAAGTCTTGTCTTCCTCGAGGGCCTGGATCCACCACAGACAGTAATGAAAAGAAATGCCTTGAGTCACAGGGCAGCCCGGCTCAGGGAGCCTGTTCTGCGACACCCCATACCTAATGCATGAAGCAGAGACCAATTTTTCTTTTTT